CCACAGACATCCTATAGTGTGCCAAGAAGTCGCTACCTAGAAGGATAGGGTGAACACAAGCCTTCACCACCAAAAATACCATAGGTACCACGATATCAGGAGGGAGGTCCGGACCCGGCGGCGGGGGGTCTGCCTCCGGTAAACAAGGACTATCTAAGTTAGTCGAATCGTACAAGGACAGAGTAAGGGCGACAGCTCCTAGCAAATCGAAGCTATGACCCTGTGCAGAAATAAGTTCAAGTCCACGAACAGGTTGTATCTTGGCACCAGCCGGGACACAACGTTCGTCTAATAAAGTATAACAGCTACCAGTATCAACTAGAGCATGACAAGGACCTCGAACGGCCTTGTCAGATGAAATATCGGCGTAAAGAAAATTGCCATAAGACCCGCCGAAAGTCTCCAGGGCAAATGGTACTGGCGATCGAGGGCCGCTTATCGACCGCCTTGGGGGTTTCCCAGCGGTAAGGGGGAACCTCCAGGGGGCTTAGAGGCCGTATTACGGATCACCTTATTCGGGTTCTGGTAACAATCTCTAGCCAAGTGACCGGTCTTGCCGCACCAGTAGCAACCTTCCGAGAACTTCTTGTTGGGGCAGGAGTAGGTCGGATGATCCTGGGCCTTGCAGATACCACAGTTCCTAGGCCGAGTAAGGGCCACGGTAGAGGTGACATTAGCCTCTGGCTGTTGCTTAGGATCGCCACTCTTGCGTCTCATACCACCCAGAATCCTGTCGAGTGTAAGATACCGAGGATATCTAAATAATAATTAACCTATTTCAGCCTATTGTCCAGTAGTATCTTCTGTGTGCGTTATTCATATCTTTCATTTGTATCCTTCGCTCGCCATTGGATACTTGTAACCGCCACGAAGCATGCTGGACAATCCCAAGATAGATTTGGGAGTATTATAATCATCATTCCCTAATCGACTGGTATTGAGTTGATCTACTTCGACACCGGTGAATCTAACATGGTAACAGCTGTAGAACTGAACTCCTCCATCAACGCCGCCTCTACTCGAGAAGATCTTTCCCGGCTACGGTCAACGGCACGTCGTCTTCGGACCAACAATTGTAAAAAGCGCACCGAAGTTCAGGAGCGTTTGGCTGACAACGACATTGATGACAACAAGTTGGCGCTATTGGAGACTGAGGAAGCTACGTTAGAAGCAGAGATCATCGCACTCTCTGGCGCCGCTGACAATGCTTCCAGCAAGATCAATGCGTTAATGCGAGAGACCTGCATGGTGAACTCGGCCACTCTATCAGCGGACGACTCCAACAACAACGCCACCGCAACGCCAACCTCTACTGAGTCAGTTTCTGGCCTAGTCAGAGCCCTATCTTCGGCACTCAGTCGTCGGCCTTACGACTCAAGAACCAAACGAGCCGATATTAATCGTCTCCCTATGCAGGGTCGAAGTCTTATCGATCCCTACCAGCTTCCAGCCCACTTCAGACGATTGGAGAAATGGTTTGCCAGCAACGAGTTTGGTACTTTTGACGACTCGACTAAGGCCTTCGTTGCCGATAAGGAGGTGGAAGCTCAGTTGGTTGAGAAGGCTATAGAGAGTCTCTCCTCTCATCGTAATGTCGCCTCTGAGGCGAACACTTTGGTTGATACCTATGGTGCTACTTGGAACCATCTCAAGAACACGCTCATCGACAAGTTTGCAAAGCCCGAAGACATCCGTCGTGAGCTCAACCGTAAGATATCCCAGCTCACATACAAGGGCCACTCTAATGTCGATGGGTTCATTTCTGAGTTGCGTCAGATCCACACATTGGCGTCTACCGTCAACTCCTCGCCTGAGGACAGTGTTTACTTCATCGACGACATTCTTCGGTGTCTCCCACCTAATGTCCACTCACAACTAGTTCAAGAAATTAATCAAACGGCCAGGATATGTCGACACAACAGCTCCTCGACTTCGAGTCCTACCACTAAACCATGGCAGCTCAAGCTACCCCTAGATGCTCCGTCCGATCAGCACTCTATTTTGGTATCTCTCGGACGTGGCACAGTCCCTCTTGGCGTCGACTGACTTTCGAAAGGTGCCACCTGAATCTAACCGTGGCTCTCGTCGAGAGGACATGAGAGACAAGATCTCCAAAGTTAGCGACTCTACTACCAACAGTACCAGAGCACCACCTAGTGCGATAACTGAAGCTCGTCGCCAACACAAGGAGGCCAATGACTGGGCGCGGAAACAGAATTTTGTCATCATCGTCATGGGGAAGGCTCTACGTTCATCCACTCCTACCGACCCAGGTTTCAACAACGCCTCTGACGTGCGATTTCTGGTTTCCCGCCAAGGGAAACGGTACGGCCTGGTCGCGTTTGACTCCAAAGCGGACGCTGAGAAAGTCATAGCCGAATACTTTTCGAACAAGGACTCATTCACTCTGGTCAAGCCATATGACCCTGACTTCAAGTCAAAAAACGACTCCGGGCGTCGCAGTCAGTAGGCGACTGTCGATTGCCCGTATTATCTATGCCTACTTCTACTGCTCCCTCAGCTAACGCTGTGGGAGCAAACTCTTCCGACCATCTATCACACGATTTGATCGACGACTATGTTGCTGCCGTCGACGAAGGTCGTCATCATCCTGAGATATCTTTCGGCTTATCGCTCTCTCAACCTCACCGTTCAGACACCAAGGCTGACCTACGAGTCCGAGGAGTGCTCGATACCGGTGCTACCAGCTCGTATATCGTGGTGCCAGAGTCGTTCATACTGGCATTTCAGACAGATCCTCTCCATCAGCCAGTTGCAGTGACCCTAGCTAACGGAAGTCAGGTCAACATCAACACAAGTATTCCCTGCTCAATCATGGTTCGGGATATACGCTCTGGTGAGTACTTCAATGCTGGCCATCATACTCTCCGTGTGTTAAACTGCCGTGAGCGACTTTATCGGCCCTATTGTCTCATTGGTAGAGATTTGATCAAGGCTTGGTGTCTCGTATGCGTTGGCCTCGACTCCGTTACCCTCTCTGGCCGTTTGGTATATGAGGCTACTCCTGTATCGACACAACTACCGGCTGCGCCCTCCCTCGCTACCATCTATCTGGTGGACGACACTGACCCGAAGTCATTGGTATCACTACCCCCGGTGGTAGCTCCCCCTGATCCTCCTACTCAACTATGTAATCAAGACAAAAAGCTCGCTCTCGATATTCTCCAAGCACTGGTTGCCAAAGGATGGCGTGATCTTCCTCTGTCGAGGGGTTATCGCTGTCGTATCCGAGAACTGTGCCCGGTCGAGCACCTAGACTCTCCACATCAAACACATGTTGGTGAACTGTTTTTACCCGCGTCAACTCTATCGACAAGGCCATCACCCAGGAACTTCGCCACTCCTCTCTTCAAGCGACTGTCTCCTGACCTCAAGGTCGCCTATAACTCGATGATAGAAGATTACGTCACCAAGAAGTGGTGGGTATCGGCCCCAGCGACTACGACTGTCAGCCCCACCCCAGCTGCTAATGTTTTCCTGATCAATGGTTCCAAGCGACCAAGGCTCGTTTGTGATTTGCGAGCTTGCAATGCTGCTCTACCTCGCGCTAGCTCGCGCAATCCAGACTTGTGGAAAGTACTGTCTATCATCCGCTTGACTGGTCCATCAATAATCGTTGGCGCCGACATATCTTCGGCGTTCTACGCCATCAGAATCAGTGCGGAGTCTGGCACTACCCACTTCGTGCTGCACACAGCGCTTGGCACCTTTTGGTCTACAAGATCATTGTTTGGAACAAGTATAGGTCCCAGCTCTCTGAGTGGCACACTAGGATCGAGTGTCGAGGCTGTCAAGAACTGCTCATCTGTTTTGCAGTCACCGTCAGTGGTTTCGGTGGTCTCGAATCATAGCGATCATGGAGATACGCACACTCGTTACCCTGTCGACCTCACCTCCAACCTCCAGTATTTTGCTGATGATATCGTCTGCTCCGGCTTCATCTGCACAATTATCCTCCACCTCATGGCTATCTTATTACAGGTCTTGGTCTTTCTGGCGTTTAACTGCCAGCCCAAGAAGTGTGCCATTTTGACGACTGAGGACAATCGTCAGGAGGCCGAGAAGACATGTAAGCAGTTTGGCCTACTCTTCCCTATAGCTGAAGTTATTGGAGTGCTGGGCGTGGTCTTCTCCTATACAGCAATCTGTGGTGGTCTTCCAGCACGACTATGTATGAGCTGTGATGCGGCTTCTCGCATGGCGAAAGCTATGGACTTCCTGAAGAAAGATCCGGTGTTGGCTCAGCGACCTAGTAAGATCGATATTTTCGCGGTCGGTGGTAAGCTTAGCTTCGACCAGGGACGGGTCCATGGAGAACGAAGGCTCATCAGTGATCTCTTGAAGGTCATTATTGCTAGGAATTTCCCTAGCTCTCCTTGGCACCAGCACTGTGACTTGACGACTATGCCTTCGACCGAGCAACAGGCCTACGAAGCGGTGGTGCTGTGGGCAAGAGAGGTCTGTGAATCGTCTTCGTCATGTCGTCATCTATCCCCTCTTCGTTCTAAGGGGCAATCTGAGGTCACCATTATCGTTGAGACCGATGCTTCGCTCTATGGCGGCGCTACGGTGGTAAGGATAGACGACGACATTATCCTTCAAGATGTGTATCGTTTCTCGGCTCGGCAAATCTCCTATTCATCGAATAGGAGAGAGCTACTGATGTGCTTACAAGGCATTCGTAGAGCGGCTGAGTTGATATCCTACCATCGTACCACTCTCACAGCCCTCACGAAATGCTCACACCTCATCTTTAATGTCGACTTCCGTACCGACAACAAGTCTAGTTGTAGCTGGCTGTCCAATGATGAGGCTGTACTGAAGCTACAGAGCTCGAAGATTCTTGAGCGACGCGCCATCATACGACTCATTGACTCTATCTCAGAGGAGCTTAAGGTCATCAGGCAGTATGGTCGGTTGTCGCTATCACACTTGGCGGGTGCTACTAACCACTATGCTGACTCAGCCAGCCGGTTGTTGGACCGGCCTGTCAAGACGGGCACGACAACCACTAGATTGGGTGAGCTTTTGGCTGCCTATAAGAAGTCTGATAACCTCAAGCCATCACAGTTGATGGGGTCCGACAAAGGCGAGTGTGCCGGAGAGCATTGCTGCTGGGCGGGGTCTATCTCTCACGATGAAATACGGCTCATGGTCAACGCCGCGTCTGCACCAGCTATGTCCCTTCGAGAGGATCTCCCAAGCATCTCCCACGAAGACCTGGAAGAGCAAGAGAGGGACTTAGAAGGTGACTTTGACTCCTGCTGCTGTCTGATAGAAGATGATGACCCTACCGGAGGTATAGCAGCTTATGATCGTCAACCATTCTCTATGATAGCGTCTATAACCTCCGGCTCAGATGACTTTTGTGAGGATGTTTGTCGTGCCGTTGATTGCGTCCTTGCAATCCGTGATGATCTCGGTCAGAACCCCCCAGCGCCTCACCCAACGGCAGAGCCATTGATCGAAGCAATTGCCCGTGATTCATGGGATGTCGACTCCGTACTAGACCGAGTCCATATACTGCGATTGGTTCTCTCTGTCCTGCGGTCTAATGCTCAAGCTCCTAATGCCACTGTCCTGGAGTGTGAATGGAACCAAGCTTGGAATCAAGAGGATGTCTTATGCGCTGCTCACTCAGCACAGTTCAACTTGGTTAACGGTAAATCTCTACACGATATCAAGACCAACAAAGGATGCTCCTGGGATGTTATCGACCCAACTGCCCTCTCCAAAGTCTTAGCCTACCGATGTGGACTGCCGACCG